GAAACAGGTTCCAGGCTCCGAGCTGTCAGCACAGAGCCCGAAGGCTCAACCACGACCGTGAGATCATATCTATCAATGGACACTTAACCGACCAAGCCACCCAGGCACCCCTCTTGGGCTTCTTTTTTAATGCCCAGAATTAAAAACAAACAGAACCATACACAAAATAAATAAAAAAGGAGCTGTTACAGATTCCATAATCCCCTCCCTCACCAACCCCTCCCGCCCTCCTTAGAACTGGGGACCAAGCCGTTACAAGCTCCCCATGTCCTAGGCTTCAGTGCACCTCCGAAAACCATGGGGAAGCTGTGGGAGGAGGCCAGGATGAGAGCAATGTCTGGATCGTGCCAGCACTGTGACCCTCCTCCTGCAGAGAAGGCCCTGCCTCTGAATGGCAGTAGCCACATGCCCTCCCTCTGCCAATATTGACCAAGGGCCAAGCCCAAGGCTGGAGCACTGTGCTGAGGAAGGGCACACAGGCATGGGTCAAAAGGCCACAATGCTTAGCAAGTGATGCGACACAGCCGGTGCCATTTGGCATCCCGGCATGTAGGAGGAGAGGTCCTGAGGCTGACACCCTGGGAGGGGGAGAACCCTCAGTGGGCCCTGGGACCCTCACACTGGGATAGGGCTGGTCGGGGTGAGGGGGTAAGGACCTACCTCCTCTGTGCTAGACTCTGAGCCTGGGCATTTGCTGACCTGAGAGGTCTATGGCGCTCCTAGGAGAGTCAGGATTTGTACTCTGCCTAATTTCAGAGATCTTTCCTCTCTGGTCCCGGGAGTTGTGAGTTACTGTTAGCCTGTTTCTCTGCCTCTCAGAGCTGATGTTCCAGTACTCATCAGAGGTTCGATAATGGCCGGGTTAAAATCTGTTAGGATGAGTACTGTTCTGGCAAAGTGGATACACGTAGAGCCTGTTTTGCCTGAGAGCTAAATTCCAAAGTGGTCTGTTTTACAAATGTTCTGTGCCATGCCCGACCCTGGGCACTCTGGCTACAGAGCTGGGTAAGACCCAGGTCCCATTTTTAGGGAGTTCCCAGACTGGTGGGTGAACAGCAAATGGGTATTCCCAACTGCTAGAAGCCACAGCTAGAGACTGCAGAGGACATAAGGGCAAAAACCCTGGAAGAGTGTGGGATGTTCTAGAAGGTAGCCTCAGCCCCAGGGTGGTGATGGGCTGCTGGGGGTCACAGATCCCAAATATGTTGCTCCTCCACTCCTAAAGAAGGCCTCACAAGAAAGCCACAGCTGTGGGCTTTGTTCCCCTTCTATTAAGTTTTCACCAAGCAGTTCATCAGCTTGGTACATAAATAAATATCTGTGGAATCACATGGAATGAATGATTCCATGACGGCATTTCAGTTGCGGCCACAGAGCTGGTGGGGACAGATGGTGCCCTGGTGGCCCAATTGAGGGTGGCTTCCCATTCTTCCCTGATTCAGCAAGCAAATGCTTGTCAGGTGAACCCTGTCAGGCTCCATGATGGCCACTGATACAGAACTTGACAGCAACTCCTGAGGGAAAGAACTCCGATCCCCATTTCCTATGTGAGGAAACCGAGGCCCAGAGGCCTCCACATATTCCAACTCCCAAGTGAAGGGAAGCAGTTCTTGGACTTTCAGCCCAGGTCTCCTGATTCTCAGTACAGCCGTGATCAAGCTGGATGTGGTGGGGGCAGCCTACCCAGGAGCGGGTGATGCTCCTCCCCCTGTATCTTGCACCCAGCTGCACCCAGCTACACGGAGCGCTCCCTGTTTAATCCGGTGGAATCAGGCCCCTCTTCTTTCCCCTGCACATACTGTTCTGTCTACCTGGAATGCAGTCTTGCCACTGCTTCCCCACTTGGCAGACTGTCTGCGTGTCCTTCACGGCCCAACTCCAATGTCACCTCCTGGGAACCTATCTTTCGATTGTCCCCAGGCAAAATTAGAAGTCTCTCCCTCCAGGGCTCCCACAATGCCTTCCCCCACCCCCCTGTTGAAACTCAGACCACTCTGGCCTCTGCACTTGCTGGGGTACCTCTTCCTTGATGTCAGGACAGGGGCCTCTTTCATCCAGGGCCTGGAGCATGGGCCACTGAGCATTCGTCCTAGTACAGCAGCCTGCCTGGGTGGCTGTGGATATAACCCAGGGCGTGGGTAGGCTGGTTTTCTAAAGTAGAGTTTGACCTTGACCTGCCCATGCAATTCCATCCCAGGGGTTTGTCTTTGGCTCCCAGTAGCCCCTACTGCCAGAGGCCACAGCTGCCCAACAGGGCCCTAAGAGCAACAACTTCAGAGGCCCAGACACCCCTGGAACATCAGAGCCAGACTGAAAACGGGGTCTGTAATACGAGGACTTAGCTCTCACGGAGCCCCTGCTGCAGCGTCATTCATTCCTGTGCTACCAGCATGGCTCTTACAGATCCACGTTATCATCACGTTATTATTTTTCACTTATATTTTTATCTAAATGCTTTGTTCTAAGTAATATGAAACCACGGGGCTTATACAAAAAATTCTTCTGAGTAGGTGACACATTCACATGGTTCAAAATTCAAAAACACACAAAAGGGGGTAAAATGAAAAGTCTCTCTTCCACCCAGCCTCTGCCATGAGGAAAGCTCCAGCATAGGAGGGATGTCCAGAGTTGGGCCAGGAAGGGGCCAGGTGGGCCAGTGGGAATGTGGTCTCAGCACTCATCTGATGAAGAATGGACGCAGCCTGTGCACTCGTGCTAGCCAAAGCCTCTTTCTCTTTCTCCGCATCTGATGTGAGAACCTTGGCTTTTGCGATCGTTGGCCTGAAAGCTTCTAGGGAATGAAAAGACCATACTAGAAACCTGTCTGATTAACCATAAGCCCAGTGCTCTCTGTGAGGATCTTGAAGTCAGGGCTGCTTCGGGATTCTGTGGGGAAACTGAGGCCAAAGGCCATGGCCAAGCAGCTCTCCCCTCCACATGTGTGGCTCAGTGCTTCCCAACCTTCCCCCCTAGCGCCCAGCCCCCAGCCCTGTGTGGTGCCCACAGTGAATGCCAGTTGCTTTGGTGCCCCTCCCCCAGTTCATTCTTTCACAACCAATTAAGGACCTGCCTCACGTCACATTTTGGCTTCTTTATTTTATTTTATTATTTTATTTTATTTTATTTTATTTTATT